TAACATCCATGCTCTGAACAAATCTAAATCTCTCTACCCCATTAAACAGCCTTTGTATATTCTATAATTATATGTAAATGCAAAGAGAAATACATAGGCATGAGGAATAAATGCCATTTTTGTTTTGTAGAAAAAGGAAAGAAATACTAGCAAAGTTCACTGACTGCTGTAGAATACGAGTGCTGAAAATGATTACCAGTAGGTGGTGATATACAATTATTTATTAGTATTTTTCTGCCTGCAAAAAGTTCTGAGCTACAACCAGTTATCTGCAGAACTTCTAACATGTTCTTTTCATATTTCTGCAGCTTTCTGAGATATCCTTTATATGTTTCACAGCTGCAGAAATGTTTCATAGCTATGATGGCATCTCTGGGCTGTAGCGTGTCAGCCTGCACCACTCTGTAAACTACAGTTGCCCTCATGCTGCAGTGTTGTATTTTGTAAAGTTTTTGTATTTTTTATCAGCTGATGAAAAACATTAGTCCAGTTCTCACAACACAATAAAGGGGGAAAAAAAAAGTCAATCATTTTTTTTTCTAGGGTGTCTCTCTTACTGACTTCTACTGAATAAACGGGTTTTCTAGCTAGCTGCATGCAAAATTGATATTTACAGGAAAGTGCTCTCAAGTTCTGAAGTTATCAGTAACCCTGGAGGAAAACAATTCACCTCAGCTTGTTCCATTAATTATTGGCTGCTTAAACACCATGGGTGGGTGATGACTAAGAGAGATGTGGAGCTGCAACATAAGAGATGGAGCTGGGGTTTAGGTGGACAGCAAATTGTTCCCAAGCAGCTGCACGTAGTAAGCAAGGAGGCTCCCTCAGGCTTCAGGAGTCACAGCTGTCCCTCTCCAGAAGTGAAGCTGGGGCTGTTTGCTTCATGGGAACAACACTGGCTCTGTGGAGGCCACGACCAAAAATAGTTCATGGACGGGAGCAGAGGTGAGTACTCCTGGCAGCCTCTGTGCACAGGCACTTGGCAGTTGTTAAAATGTGTCCCATTTATCTTTGACCACCACCAAATGCACCGCTGAGTTTCTCCACTATCCATAAGAGATGAATGCCCGAAACAGGTATAAGTGCTGCTTTACTGCTTCTGGTATCATTGGCCTGGGGGGAGTGTTGAGCCCAAGTCACATCAGTCCTTTTCACTAATCTTCTTACCATTTATGTCAGGAGCCTGTTTCACAAAGCCAGGGCAAAAGCAGTCAGTATGGGCTGGTCTTGGGCAAACTCTTTTTCTGACTGCATGGGCATGGGTTTCCCTTTCAGGCTGGGACAAGAGATAGCCAGGCTTGTACCGAACACACAATGTGCTGCAGAAAATAAAGAATCTGTTAATGAGAGTGGGACACCACAGTGTTTTCAAGCCCTGCTGTGCAGATTGGAGGGCAACTGACTGGGCTTTGGCAGTAGGAAGAGGGACCCAGCGTCTAGCCAAACGACATGTCTATGCCTGAAACTGAAAAGCACCAAAATACCATATCCAGAACTTCAGGGCACCCTACTGATGCTGGTGAAAAAAATCAAGAAAGCCTCGTGTCCGCTGGTATAAGTGAAAAGAGAATCAAATTTCTCATCTGCTGAATTGTGGGGAGTATCTATGGCAGGCAATGCTCCTGCTTAGATTTATCAGAAAGACATTTTGATACTGTTATATGAAAATGAGAAATGAAAATGAGAAATATGGGCAGTTTTAGAGAAGTTACTTGTGTGGCAGCCTGATGCTATTTGTAAATGACTTTACCATCACACTACAGCACAGCTATGCAAATCATGTAGGGAAAAGACAGGTGTGACTGGCAGCTCTACCTGGTGCTACACACAGGGTAGGAGAAACCACATGTATCGGTTGCTGGACAAACAGTATTGTGTGTGTTAGACACAAAACTGACAGAAACTTCCAACTTTCTTCTGTTGTTTGGACATAAAAAGGCTGAGGCCTATACATGCAATAAAACTTAGATGCAAACATGAAATGGTTATTACTTGTTTAGGATGAGGAAATGACAGTATGTAGTCAAAGATGTTTCCATAACGGAAACAAGCAGCAAGTGGGAAAACATGAATTTTATAAAGTAGTTCTGTTATAACAGGCTATTTTCAGCTGATGGAAAAAGCAGTTTTTGTAGCAAAATATAAGAACATCTGTGCTTAAATGGAAATGGGGTGGGATACCAAATCCTTAGGTGACATGCAAAGAGAGTGGCTTTTAGATTAAATGAGGGCAAACCTTAATGATATAAAAATGTTGCTTTTTCTCTTTTGTTTAGAAAATTAAAAATTGCCTCCAATGTAATGGCATTTGCACAGAATTACCCCATGCTTCACTGCCTGCCTCAGTTTGAAGCCAGGGCAATACTTGCACCTACCAGACCTGCAGCTCAGTGCCTTGGCAAAAGGTCCAAATCCTTGCTGTTTTATCGCACAGCTGTAGTGACCTCAGCAAAACTGGTACAAAAGTGAGCCCCCAAAATGACTAACCCCCAGCAGTTTCTCTCTTAGAAATACACGAGGCCCTGAGTGATTAATGAGACATTGCTATATGCTTCCTGAGTCACCTCCTAGATGGCTTGATGCCAGGTGCTAGGGGCAAGCCAAAGTTTGAACTCCCATTGACTATCAACAGAAAAGGAAGAAAGTTTAATCTTAAATGATTAAAATAGCATCATGATAGAAATAACCACTCTGTCCTTTCCAGTGTTGGGTGACCCAACAACCCTTGGTATGCACATTAGTTATTGTACTTGTTGATTTCAAATAAGAAGCAGCATAGCTCTCATGACTTTTTCCTTACATTTTCTTGAAGATTTTAGTCAAAATACAGGAGAACATGTCTATTTAGTGATTACTAAATTCATCTCATACGATCCTTTTACCCCTTTTGAGCACAAAAGTGCTGTCCTACTCCCTGCAGCTTAGCCATGAGGGAAAAGCAGGGAGAAGCCACATATTCGCTACCAAATATGAACGTGTCCAGGATCACTCCAAGCGCTGACCTTTGGGCAGCTGGTGTGTCTCCAGCAGTTACTTCACACCTGGATTATCTCCAGCCCAGAGCTAGCAGACTTTTTGCTCCAATCTCACACTTGGCCCTTTGCAGTAGGTCCCTGATTTAACCCAGTTCTCCAAGCAAGTCAGTTTGTCATGATCTTCTCCCAGATCTCTCTGTTCCAAGCCTTTGACTCCACTTCCCCTACTAAAAAGTCTGTCATACCTCATGGAGAATTTAGTCAGTTCTTCCATGGAAATTCCTGTCACTTGGGAAGGGCCTGTTGGCAAGGTGTCAGAAACTGGGATGGTAACTGCTCAGACATAGAGAAGCATCTTGGTTTGTAATCTTTTGAGTTCATAATGGTAGAGGAAGGTAAGGAAAAGGCTTGGGAGTTAAGAAATTGAAAGAATTTTGAACAGAGAGGTGTTTTAGAACAGAGAGGTGTGGAATCAGAGAGTGAGGAAAGTGCAATTAGAATTCAGAGCAGTGCATGAGATAAGTAGAGGAAATTTGTGGGTGATTTCTATTCATACAGTAGCGAGACAATGCCAGGATTTGTGATATCTGATTAAAGCAAACGTCAGAGTGAAAGTGGCTGGTTGGATGGAGAATTAGAAAGGTCTTAGCAATGTGTGGACAGGGTATCACAGAATCACAGAGTGGCTGAGGCTTAAAGGGACCTCTGGAGGCCATCTGCTCCAACCCCTGCTCAAGCAGGGCCACCCAGAGCAGGCTGCCCAGAACCATGCCCTGGCAGCTTCTGAATATCTCCAAGGAGGAGACTCCACAACTTCTCTGGGCAACCTGTGCTTAGTCACAGCACAACACAGAATTGCTTCTTGATGTTCAGAGGGAGACTCCTGAGTGCCAGTTTGTGCCCATGGCCTCTTGTCCTGGCACTGGACACCACTGAACAGAGCCTGGCTCCATCCTCTTTGCACCCTCCCTTCAGGTGTGTATAGACATAATTGGTGAGATTCCCCCTGAGCCTCCTTTGGTTGAGCAGTCCTGGCTCTCTCAGCCTCTCCTCATAGGAGAGGTGCTTGAGTGTCTTGATCTATGGCAGAACTCAATGTGGATGATCAAAGAAAATGAGTGCATAGGAATGTATTTAAGCAGAAAGGAATCAATCAGAAAGAAAAAAAAAAAAAAAAAAAGGGGGTGGGGTGGGGTGGGGTGGGGTGGGGTGGAGGATTTGTCCTCTGGGTGCTGAAAATTCAATACATTTTTCAGAGCTTCTGGGAAATAGGACCAGAGACCGTAGGCCATAAAATTAGCTGAATTGGTGCTGTGCTGTACAGCATGGGTCAAAGATAGAAAACAGAAGAATTAAATTGAAAAGTAAAGGGTGGATTGGAGATCCAAGGGCATTGAGGGAAAACAAAACAAAAAAACACTGTATGATCATACAAATTTGTTTTCTCTTGCTCTGCATTATAGAAAATAATTTGCTAGGGAAATAATTTGCTCTTTCTGCTAGGGAAACTTTGTTAGAGGGAGCAAGTCCACCCTTTTACCCATAGCCAGACCTCTCCCATTCCCTCTTGCACAGTAGAGTCAGGTCAGCACACACAAAGGAGAAGAGCAGGGATGGGCAGGCTGGTAGCCAAAGGACAACACGATCTTCAGCCACCGTTTAGCCCAGTCTGAATCCACTGGACACCTGTCAGCAGCCATTTGATTTATTGCTAAACTTGAACTATAGACTGTAATTGGTAAATCTGCAGGATAGATCAAAACACACCTGAGAGACCTTCAAATTATCAACTATTACAGCTGTTTGATTACTTTGGAACCACTACTGATACCCGATATCAGCTCAAGGCCATGTCTGCAACTGGCTGCATCAATCCAGTGAAGTGCTCTGCAAAAAGATGTCAGAATAGAGACAAAGTGGGCTATGTCCAGAAAAAGGTTAATCAATAGCTTGCAAGGTTGACTGAGTGTCATTAAATACAGTGGTGCACCTACTGTATATAAGATGTGACCTGTTGTCTGTATCATTCTCAGTCACCATTTCTGCCATACTGGTAGTTACCAGGTTGTCCACCTGGAAGATTTTGTGTACAGCCAGAAATGTTCATATCACCATGGATCTGGGGAATAGTAATAATACTCTGTTGCAGTTTTTGGTTTCTTCTAGGGAGGAGGAGGAGGTAAGGAATCTGTTTGAAAATGTATCTCAGTATACCAAGTCTTTACTTCTGACAAAGATACTGTATATGTGCCTAAAACTAGTATAATCTTAAGTTTATCATGTGAATAAATGCAGGTAGATAAATGCAGGATAACATGGGCAACAAGGTACTTTGGTCTTTTGAGAGATTTGTGTTACAACAGAACTTGTCCATACATGCTTTTAATAATGGTGAGTTAATGCCTAGGCATGTGCCAATACTAATCTATGCATAAATGAGGAAATTAAAACATTAATATACTTGTTCTGATTTCCTAAAGTACTAGGTTATATTTTTACATGCATTTTAATTGCAACTAATACTTACTTCTATCTAATTATACTTTAATACCTATTTAGAAACATTTTCATATTATCAATCTATCCTAACTAGTTACACAGAGCAAGTTTATATTTGCTTATCTGTTGTAATTTTATATTTTTCAGCAGTCCTTTTCTTGTTTTACTATAAAAAAGTTTAATAAAAAGGTAAAAGTATTTAAGTTCATATAATAACCACCTGCAACATAGTAGAAGAACTAAACTATTACCTGAAAGTTATTTTAGCAGCCACGGTGACTGTATGCAGTTTTCTGATTGTCGGAATAAAAAATATCATTTAAGTATATGCTTAACATAAAGCATGTTCTTAATGACGTTTTCCTTGAAAGACTAAATCTTATGCTTACTGAAGATCATGGCCAAATTCCCACTGTTTTCAGCAGGACCTGGTCCAAATGGGATATGCCAATAATAACAACCTTTCTACACTCAAAAGGCTATTCTCTTTGGTGTTCAAATTGATTTGCGAATACCACTGCCAAAAATGTTTCAGACAATGCTAGCAGGAAAGATTATTTATTTATGGGGCAATTAAGCATCTGTGCATGTTAGGTAGTGGCAACAATACTGCATTTAAATAGATTAAAAATAAACTCTTGATCAAGAGAAAATAAAAGTGACAAAGTCAAACTGTGTTGTTATGCTTATCATAACACATAAGTAAGTTATTCTTTTTTGTATACAATAGACATCACAATAGGATTACTCTTTAAAGGCAAAGAAATTACTAATCAACAGCAGCAGAAAACTATTACAAAAAGCTTTGCATCATTGTTTTACTTACCTTTACTTACCTTTGCTTACTCTCCTGGAGGAGATATCTTGATACGTACTTCTAAACTCAGCTTTTGTTTGTGTTTTGTAGGCAAAAAGGAGAGCCACCACTTGAAAACGGGTTCCTTCCATACTTGGGCTGTGCCTTGCAGTTCGGTGCCAACCCCCTCGAATTCCTCAAAGAAAAGCAAAAGAAGCATGGCCACATTTTCACTTGCCGAGTAGCGGGGAAATACATTCATTTCCTCACTGACCCTTTTTCATACCATTCATTGATACGCCATGGAAAACACTTGGACTGGAAAAAGTTCCATTTTGCTACTTCTGCCAAGGTACAATGTTAAAAGTGGCTTCAATATCTAATGTGTAGAATCTTCTGGCAGGACAGACAGTAGTCTGTCCTGACAGAAGTTAATCCCTGTAGCATAACCATGCCTTTGAAATATAATTGACTTCACATTTCTGCACTTTTATCGGTTTAAAACATTGGAGTCTTATTTCCCCCCCTTTCCTTAACAGAAAGGAAATTTACAGTAATTTGGATTGTAAAAGAAGGACATTTAGTCAGGTAGTATTCCTAATTGCTAAAGTAGAAACACAGTTAGCACCTTTTTTACAAAATGATACATGGCTTGCTGAAGCTGAAAACTTCTTCAGGAGCTTCTCAGTGGAAGATTAGCTCCCAATGCCTTAAAAAATGATGCAACACAGTAGAAGCTCAATCAAACTCTTATTGAAGTAAGCAAAAAGGGTCTTTCTGATGTCAGTGGGAGTTGAATGAAGCTCTAGGTAACCACATTTATTGTAAGCATGCTTGATTTTATTTGCATTTGCATTTTTAACTGCTATGAGAAAGTATCAATTCTAGTATTCACAGTCCTTATTGTACTTTCCTTTAGTAAGGTATGAAGTTATACTTTGGCTTTAATTTCTGTTAGACTTTATCATCAAGGTTGTCACAGGTCTTATTTATCATGCATGCAATTTATTTTGTGACAGGCTTTTGGGCATGGTAGCATTGACCCAGCAGAGGGAAACACCACTGAAAATTTTCATCAGACTTTCATTAGAACCCTTCAAGGTAACGCCCTAGATGACCTCATCAAAGCAATGATGGAAAATCTACAAGACGTCATGCTGCAGTCAAGAACATCTAAACTTCAGTTTAATGCCTGGACAACAGAAGGACTTTATAAGTTCTGTTGCCAGGTGATGTTTGAGTCAGGCTTTTTAACACTTTTTGGTAAAGAATTTAATTCAAATCATGAGAAAAATCTATCAAAGCAGGAGACCGAGAGAGCACATATTCTAAATGCCCTTGAAAATTTCAAGGAATTTGATAGGATCTTTCCGGCTCTTGTGGCGGGGCTGCCTATCCATCTGTTCAAGAGTGCCCACAGTGCACGTGAGAAGCTGGGGGAAGCACTGCTCCACAAGAACCTCCTGAAAAGGAACAATCTCTCTGAGCTTGTCACCCTCCGCATGTTCCTGAATGACACTCTGTCAACCTTTGATGACATGGAAAAAGCGAAGACCCATGTGGCAGTACTCTGGGCCTCGCAAGCCAACACCATTCCTGCCACATTTTGGAGTTTGTTCTATCTTCTGAAGTAAGTCCCAACATTTCTTGCTTCCAAATGAGAAAAATAATGTTTATTTTCTTTCAGAAACCAATTCACTACTATGGGTAAATTCCACTGCTTGATACTTCAGTATCAAGAAGCTTACTGATTACAACACAAATGGCATGTTGTAGACTTCTGCAGAACTCCCACTTTTCTTGTCTCAGACCAAGTAGAGGTACCACAGAGCAATGCCATAGAAGATTTTCAAAAATACTCCAGGGCAATGCCTTGAATCCTAGCATTAAAAAGTAGCACGTGATGCACTTTGTAAAGGCAAATTTGGAGTAAGTTTATATATGACACTAAAAGTGCTGCTTGCAGTCAAAATTTTAATTACATTGAAGGCTCCCAGTATAATCAGACATTTTTAGACCATCTCACTAGAGCAGGCAAAACAGGCTTTAACTTCATGGTTGATTTAACAGATATTTAATAGACAGTAGTTTATATGTTGATAGATCCTACTGAGGTTGTAGTAGTTATGCAGCAATATCAACACAGCAGCTCCCTGCTGCTTTCTTCACCCAGACTTCAGCAGAGCTCTTCCACTTGGATAAAGCTGTCGTGGCAGCATGAAGAGTGAGACACAAAATCCTCAACTATTCATACATGTTTTAGGCCAGTGATTTGAGATTCACTTGGGGTGTATGTCCAAATTCCTCAAGAGAAGGAAGGGCATTCAAAGCCTTAAGTGGGTTAAGATTCCTGTACATAATTTCCTAAATTTCCAGAATAGACTTTCCTATATAGTATTTTCCTAACTTTAGATATCTGCAGTATAAACTGGAGCTACTGAGTTTGTTACTTATGAGAGGAGAGCACAGTTCAGATAAAACTATTAATTGTCCAATTTAGAGTGAGTATACTCCATGGAATATAAACTACCCCAGCTCTTAAGTATGTATCTAAATTTCTAATGTTTTTATTTAGCCAGTGGCTTGTAATCTCATACCTACCAGCCAGTGTCACTAACTGGGGTTATTTGGTACTTTTTATTCTAAGAAGGCATTTGCTTAAATTGTCTTGGCTAATCACGCCTTCATAATGACAACACTATTGAATCCTGCATTGTTATCATGCATATTGCACCATATATTGTTCATATATTGCATGTCTGAAGAAAGTCTAAATAGTAAAGGGTACTATGTGGACTTTTAGCATTTGGAAGATTCTTTTCAGATAAACAGAATAGGACATCACATAATAGGACATCATCCAGGATAAGTGATGTTATAAAACTGATTTATGATCCCCTTCCCAAATCTTCTACCTGCAATGGAGCTCTTTCCTAATATGCAACTGATTGTTTCATTTCTTATTCTTGGCATTGCTTTTTAGTGACATCACTATTTATTACCTCTGTTACGCACATTAGTTCTGTCCCTCCTGTCATTGGAGACAGATCAAATACTTGGGGTTCTTTTCCTTTATAGAATCTATTGTATCTTTGCCAAAAGGTGAAAAAGTCTAATTGCATAAGTAGATTTTGCTTCAACATTTTCATTTTGGAAGGTTGTACTTGTCAGCTAACAAACTAAATTTTATTTGGGAATAAAATGAATGGCACAAACCCTTTTTAAACCATTCTTAAGTATAACATTATGTCATACTTCTGCACTTTTGATTTTAGGAATCCAGAAGCAATGAGAGCTGCTATCAAAGAAGTGCAAAGCATTTTGGAAAGTGCTGGAGAGAAGATCAGCTTAGATGGCAAACATATTTCCTTGAACCGAAAACAGCTGGATAATATGCCAGTACTAGGTATGACTGTTTTATGCAGGAGTACCAGAAATCACCCCACAATTTTCACAATCTTCTATTTGTCCCCATATAAGCACTTTCTACGGAATTACTATTAACCAGCACACACCAGAACAAAAACCTGTATGTTCCCTGGCAATGGCCAACACAATCAGTCTTCCCAGTATCAGAGGTGGTCCTGAGTGTACCAATTCACATAAATAGCATTTTTTTTAGCATGGGTAATGGCATGTCGGAATACAGTGTGTGTCAGCACAACTATTCAGTGTTGGACACCCGTGGATAATTCAGAACAATATTTTGTTTGGTAATGGCTTTAGATCAAATAAAGGGTGTTGCCAAATTGTATATGGCAGCTGTTATTATATCAAGCAAGATCTTCTAGTACCATTACTGGAATTTCTTCTTAATGTTTTTCAAATTACAGGCACATATTTCAAGTGTCCAAATTACAGGGAAGAGTTTTGAAAATGTCACTGTTTGACTACTGCTGATTTCTTTAATCAGTTTATATTGAAATCAAACAAAAAACAAGGTGCTCCTGTGCACCAGCACTAAAAGTTTCAGAAAAGCCTGATCACTGCACTGTTTCCTTTTCTTGTTATGTTTTCATGGTTTTCTTTACTTCAGCTTAAAAGTGTGTCTCACTTTCAAACATTCTGTTGCATCAGCTATGAGTAATTTTCTAGGGGAAAGCGGATTATGTTCTCAGTGTTATCTGCAGAAGGGATAATAATGCTAACAAGAAATGAGAAAGATACTTTCTTAGGCATTTATGAAGTTACTGTTAAATTATTTTTTTTAATAGGCTTTAATAGTGGGTTTGAAATAGCTCAAAATATGTCCTCCCCCAAGGACATATACATACTATTTCTGTGGTAATCATTCCTTTTCCTCTCTCTATAGATAGCATCATCAAGGAGGCAATGAGGCTATCGAGTGCATCCATGACTTTCCGAGTTGCTAAAGAGGATTTCACTTTGCACTTAGAGAATGATTTTTACAACATTCGCAAGGATGATATTGTAGCTCTTTATCCTCAACTTTTGCATTTTGATCCAGAAATCTATGCTGATCCTTTGGTAAGTATTTATCACAGTGCATTAAATTCTGAGCTCTAGCAGAAGCCAGCATGTTTTTTAATAGAGCACTTACCAAGAATGCTTCTACAGCTGTTATTCTGTTGTGCTCCAGACAGTCTGTTCTTATGCCTGGAGTCTCAAGGATAGGCAAGAACTACCTGCAAAACATGTTTGGGTGTAAACAAAAAGTGTACTGGAAGCCCAGGAGAGCCTTTTAGCTTTTGTCTCCCTCAATAATGACAGATTACCACTTGGGGAGGAAGAAGAGGAGGAGATTGAGAGAGGGCAAGGATAAGGATAATATTTTCTCAACAACACAGGATGAGAAACCTTCCAGTTCAGATGCATGAACACAGATGCAAGCTGTACTGCTTATTTTAAGAGGTTAGAAGTTATCAAAACTTTTAAGAAGTTATCAAAAGGATTCCCTAGCTTGACTCTAGCAAAGATCCTGAGATGATATTGTCCCACATGCCAGACCTTTTCAAGGACTACCCTTTGCAGAAAGCACCTTAGGGCCTGGTACCACCATGAAGCACAAAAACTGTCCTGTAAAGTGTTTACTGCCTGAGGCTTTTCCCTCCCAGCCTGCATTTTGTGTCTTAATAGCATTATCCAGTCCTTGGAGTTATTCAGATATCAACTAACTCTTTTGTGGGTTTTATTGCAGACATTCAAATACGATCGCTATCTCAATGAGAACGGAGAAGAAAAGACTGACTTCTACCGCAATGGTCGCAAGTTGAAGTATTATTATATGCCATTTGGGACAGGAATAGCAAAATGCCCTGGCAGATTATTTGCTGTCCATGAAATTAAACAATTTTTGGTTTTGATATTTTCATACTTTGAGATAGAGCTTGTGGACAACAACGTGCAGTGTCCTTCATTAGATCAATCCCGTGCAGGACTGGGGATTTTGCAACCATCCAATGACATTGATTTCAGGTATAGACTGAAATGTCTATGAATATATATATGTTTTATTATATCTATAAACTGTGTACAGTATAAATACACTATATAACATATATTTTGTATATACATTACGTATGTATGCAAGTGAAACATTGTAAGTCTCAGGGGAAAATCCATAGGAAGATGCTACTTCATCAACCTAATAGAGAATACATAATACTATTATGGTACCAGCAGAAAATGGGTTTAATGCATGTTGTTGATACAAAAGTTACTCCTTTTACCAACCATTCTAAAATGCAAGTTGTGACTTTGAGTTGTGTATGTACAATAGTTCATTTTTTTTCTGCCAGCAACTACCTTCCCAGAGTAATATAGTTAAAATTTCATCAGGTAGTTCAAAATAATTATAAAAATTCAACAAGAGTTAAACCATACTCTTTTTTTATAACTGAAATGTTGGAGGTGGAGGGTTCTCACCATGGGTGAAATAAGATTTTTATAGTATAAAGGCAGACTGGGGGAGGGGAGAATTTCCTGGGGAAGTACTTTTATGTTTTTATTAAAAACTAGAAAAGACTTGAATAAAATCTACAAAATCTTTCACGTTCTAGTGAAACTGCAGAATCTGTATCATATTCATTGTAATATATATTTCTGTTCAGAAAGTTTTTAACTGTATTACAATAAATGATATTATCTGCACTAAATGCTTCTCTAGACTGTTGGTTGTTTCAATGTCTTAACATTCTCAAAGATTTATGCACTCATCACTAGCCACCTGAGCCACCTTTAAACTAGCCAGCTCAAACATCGTAGAATATCCTGGCTTGGAAGAGCCACACAAGGATCATAAAGTCCGACTCCTGTCTCCACACGGGACCACCCAAAAAATCAGACCATGTGTCTGAGAGCACTGCCCAAACGTTTCTTGAATTCTGGCAGGATCAGTGCCATCACCACTACTCTGAGGAACCTGTCCCAGTGCCCGACCACCCTCTGGGTGCAGAACCTTTCCCTAACCCCAGCCTGACCCTCCCCTGTTCCATTTCCATGCTGTTCCCTCGGGTCCTGTTGCTGTCCCCAGAGAGCAGAGCTCAACGCCTGCCCCTCTGCTCCCCTCTGAGGGAGCTGCAGGCTGCCATGAGGCCTCCCCTCAGCCTGCTCTGCTCTGGGCTGAACAAACCAAGGGGCCTCAGATGCTCCTCATACATCTTTCCCTCTAGACCCTTCACCATCTGTGTTGTCAATACGGAGATAAGTAAATAGCCACCAGTGCTTGTAGTTGGATTTTGCACCCTTCTCTAAATTCCATATATCCATAGGCCTCCATTGGTCATACTCCATAGATCTTCCTAGTCTAATTCCATTAAAGCTACTATGGATATGCCCACACATTTCATTTTCAGTGGTGTCATGTCTGTAAGAAAAATCATTTCAGGCATATCATTTGGTTCTCTGTAACATCCTGTTCCTTTCTGCTGCAAATGATGGATGGGTGTCACAAAAGTCCAGTTTTTAATGAAACATCTTTAGGCTGAAAGAAAGAGTTTTCTTATCATCCGCCAGTGAAAACAACAAATGGACTTAAAATATTGTTGTTATCCTATTTTTTTTTATGCTTCTAAGGATTTACGATCTGACCTTTTGTCCTTGAATCAAATGTTAGCCTCATCACAGAAGATGAGATACAGAGCTATTAGATATTTTCAGATTTCCCGTTCTGGCAAGACATCCAATCTAGCTGATAAAGCTCTTCCTAAACATGGAATTTTACCAGGACACAGGCCTTGAACTGCTTTAAATTATGCATCTGTTTCTATTCTCACTATCCACTGTGCTAAATATTCAAAGGCAAAGAAAAAGATTCTGTAGTGTGTGATTATTACCCGTGTGTTACCTTTGTAAATTTATTTAAACTTTTTTCATTTTCAAAAGAGAACAAAGAACACCACATTGTTGCCATTTATAATATGTATAATATTTAAAAAATTAGATATAATGAAAGTGGCTTTGAATTATTAGTTTGGTTCTCTTGGTAAGGGAAGTGCCCAGTCATAGGTACAGCCTCTTTTCATAGTTCTGCCAATTATGTTTTTGTATGATTTATATAAATTACAGCACATTCATTGTAAGTTAGTATTGACTCAGAGAACACATGAAAGCCTGACATTATCATAATTACATATGCCCTGGCACATATTATTACTATTAGAGTATCTACTCCTCCTTTCTTAAACAAATCTTTCCTAACACTACAGGTTTTGAGAGTAGCAAGTCTGTGCAATGTTTTAAGCAAAATAACCTTCCTTGATGAAAATGAATTCAAAACAGAATTGCAACAGTAGATAATGGAAGACAGCACAGGAGTTATTAAAGCCAGCATCTCCATGGTTGCATTGACACTTGGCACTTTTTCTTCCATCCCCTGATGTATGATAACCCTGATCCATTGGATCTTGCCTACAAGTTCAGTTAGAGGCAACCATCCACATTTTTTATTGCAGCAGACATGTAAGAAGAAACTCAGTTTCTGTTTGAGCTTTGTTTTTTATGTTTATTTCTTTTTGTTTGTTTTAGTGAGGATTAGATCAGTCTTTAATGTACAAGATAAATTCTACAAATAAGTTAGGGTTTGTCTATAGCCTTCAGCTACTTTTGCACCAAGAAGGTGAAGACCAAATAAATTAAAAAAAAAAAAAAGTTGTAAGGTTCTGTGACTAGACAGCTATTTACAAATTTATGTTTGTTTTTGAAGCCAGTGCTAAATTGTTGCTGACATTTTAGAACAAAAAGTGCTTCATTGCAACCTGCATAAATCCCTATGAATTTCCAATGGAAATAATGTAAACTGCTACTCTTAAAACTCTATTTGCAATTAAAATAACTATACTGTTTTATTTGCAATACGTGTTGATGCACATGATGAAAAACTTTCCTTTAAAAATTATTTACTGCAATATGGAAAGTAAAGGCTTTCTTTTTCAAAGAAACTTTTATAAACCCAAGCTTAATACAAAAGAGAGATACCCCTGCCAAGGCAGATATGACTAAGGAATGGCCAGGAGAACTCCCAAGACATTTTGTGTCTGAGGTATTATGGTCCATCTTATAACTGTGTCCAGGAAACTTACCTAACAGTGGACGGATGATTCCAAGCCTTGTGTTAAAGAGGGAAAATGCATTCCTTATCAAAATGCAATACCTGTAAGAATGGGAGAACTCATGAAATGAAGTCTCTAGTAGGAAGGGCTACCTGCAAATGTGCTTCAGAATTCACAAGAGGGTAATGTATCTGGATTTAACTTCTCCAGCATCTGTCTGTCTGGATACACTGGCCAGAAATGTGAGGTAGATGTGAATGAATGTCCAGCTTCCATTTGCACATGGATAAAGGTCCAGGCTGAGACTAGCTGAGACTAGCTCTTTAGGCCTTCCAGGACTGCATAGTCATTCTGGGCCAAAAGCCAATACCAATCTATATTGTAACTTTTATCCCCATCGAGAATTGGAAATCAATTAACGTCAAATAAAGTGAACAGTGAGACATGGGTCCTCCAACTGGCTTGGTCATGCTAGTGTAACTGAGCAAAGTAGTACCATGTTAAAAAACAAACAAGCAAACATGTGAATAAGGGTCATGTGAATAAGGTCTATGACCATACGAATTGTTTAGAGTTGGGCTGGCAATGTCCACACACTGCTTAGGGTCTGGCTATGTTGTAAAGACACCATCAAGTTCTAGCCAAATTCTTTTTAACCAGCCACCCCACCTTTCTATAAACTATTTATAAAGATGCATAAATATATCCTCTTTAATCTAAATCAGAGGATTATAACTTTAAGTTTTATCAGAAATATTTTTACAGGCTGTAACCACAAATTACATATGTATATACCAGGATTTTATTTTATTTTATATATTTTATTTTATATTTATTTTATTTTAGACTTCCATCCACATTTGTTATGGGATTTAAAGCAAATATGCCATATTATGTGAATGTTTTGTATTTTACTTTTGTAAAAGGTAAAAATTTACCTTTACCTTTTACTGGTCTATGCTTTTATAAATAAATAATAATTAAAAAAAAAAAAAGGAAGAAAAAAGCGAAAGAAAAAGGGAAAGAGTTTTTTTTTTTAGAAGAAACACTCCACTTTTTTCTCCTATCACATCCTTTCAGTCACGTTATTTACTTGATTTAAACCTATTAAGAGCAAGACCATTCATAGACATAGCTCCAAGTGCAGGCTAATGATCTGTCCTGCACTAAAGCCTTTCTACAAAGAATTTACAATAAATCCGACTCACGACCATCTACTGCTTTGAGGTACCTGAGCCAGATGAAGGTTCATTCCATTAGGAATGTGGGGAGACTACTTCCAAAAGACAAATCTTGGCACTAGTTCATGCAACACAACTCTCTTGTAATAATAGTAATGCAGATAATAATGGACAGATTTTGTACACCTCTCCCACAGAGCTATTTCAAAGATTTACTATGAGAGGCAATGAGAACATTTAACAAATCACAGCAGGCAGGAGAATCCATATACCCATCCCACCCAAGTGCAATGCCTTAACTGAAGACTCATTACAAACTGGTAGAAATCAGACCATACACAGGGTCCCACAGGGATGGCTCAAGTGCTCCTGCCAAAATTCCCATAGGAGCATGGTCATTGCCATTCAACTTCCCATCACTGCTCCTTTGCTGGGGTAGGAATTCTCAATGGACACCTGGACCCACAAGCTGTGAACTGGTACTCATTGGGTGAGAAATATAAAACAAGAGAGGTGATCGGTTCTTCTTGTCCAGTTCTGAACTCCTGTAACAGAAGGAGCATATCAGCATATCTTCAGAGGACTCTGCAGAGCAATGTCAATTTTTAATGTTGACCCAGAGTTATGAAGCTGAAAAGATCCAGAATAAACTCTTGAGCACTTTCCACACTTTGTGACAAAAGAAATGCAAATGAAAAGTTTGAACAGTTCTTTTTAAAAAAAAAAAAAATAAAAAAATAATATTGGTTAATATGGAAGTATTTTGGTTTCATTCCATGACCGCTACTTTTGTAACCTCAGTTAAACCTCTGTTACCAGGGTCACCCAGATGCAAGTGAGGGGAGAAAGTGGTACAAAGTCTGTGGCTGCTATGCCTCAGCTAATGTAATCAAATACTTAACAATCAATACTCATCTGCCTTGCCAGGGTCACGGACACCGCAAAGTTATACCAGGGCAATTCTCTGTGCTGCGTCTCCAAATAACTGTACTTTTCTCAAGATATGAGACCAAAACAAGGTAAGATGAAAGGCCGTACAAGCAATTAGAAAAATACTGTGCAGACTCAGGTTGGTATGAAGGAGGCAGCCTACGCCATGAGTTGTGTGAGTCTTTCACATTACCTATCTACTACACAGAAGGAGATATGGGCAGAAAGGAGGCAGAGACCCCACCTCCCAGGTGAGAATCCTAACCATTAGGCTAGCTCAGGCATTCACTGCTTTTTCCAGTGGTAGCTTTTCTCTGAAAAACTGAACAAATTTAGTAGAATGATTTGCATGTCTCCCAACCTGTACTCTTTTAATTAAAGTCCTCTCTTAGCTGAGAAACTATTCAGTTTTGACATGGGATTGAAGTCCCGGAGGTGGATGAAGGAATCAAATCCACATGCTGAGGGCAGTCTCTAACCATGGTGAGTAAAAGT